CTATCATCCAACAGATTAGACTTACTCAGATCTCATTGATTGTCTTTTTGGTATAGCCTCGATAAGCATTGAAATTACCTTTATGAGGGGAAAGTTACTACCTGTGTTATATTTTAAACTTATTACAAAGGGAGTATTGGCATTATCACCAACGGCCAAAAAGCCGTCATCTGTGGACCACAGTTCTAGAATAAAAGCATTCCTAGTTCACTGAGCTCGGAGATGACCATCATCTCTGACCGACCACGGACATACGGCCCTGCAGGCATCGGTGTCAATGTGCTGACCTTGACTCCCCTGACCTCCCAAACCAGGCCGGAGAGTGCCGCTACCTCGTCTGGATGAATTCGCTCATGGGCGGATTTGAGCCTCATGCTTGCAGTTGGTGTGCACTGGGTCCATACAACTGACTACTGGCCCACCAGGTCAACATATTAGCAGATTAGCAGCATAGGCTTTGTGCCTCATTGAAAAGTACATCAGAGGCAGAGTTCACCACTAGGTGTGGGGGCTGGTATGAATGTCCACTCACTCTCTCTCTCTCTCTCTCTCTCTCACACACACACACACACACACACACACACACACACACACAGAGGAATGGTAGCTCCTATTTACTCTGGAAGCCTTCAAATAGATGCCCATCACACAGCCAACAGTTTGCGGTAACCACTGTGGCGTTGTGGTGTGCGGGCACTCATGTTTACTGCCTGCGGGCACTCATGCTGGACGAGGAGAGAGAGGAGAGGAACAGAGCCATTGGAAAAGTGAGGGAATGGACGACGACAAGGCATGTTTTCTTTCTGATAGTGAAGCAGACTTGAAATTCCTGACTACTTGGCTTTTCTGAATTGGCTGGTCGCCTTTGTAAAATGAACACTCTGTGCTCCCTTCTGAAGGAATGTTGGCAGGGGCAGCGTGGGGAGCCTGACGTGGTAATACTTAGAGGGCTAATGGTTTCCTTCCCGAAGGCTGACACAGCTATGGCCTCTGTACTGCCAGGATCCAGACTGACCACAAGAAACCGAGCTGTGTCCCCCGGAGGAGAAAAGTGGGGTGTCTATGAAGCACTTCCTGAGAAGAGTATTGCGTGATGATAGCTTATGGTCAAGACACAGGCAAGCCAATCTGATTAATTTACTGCTTCGCGATTTCCAACACTACCTACAGAGAAATCAGACCTTGGAAGTCACAGAGAAAATGCTTGCATTACTGCTTTCCCGAGGAAGACGGGAGGCAGGGAGTGGACGGAACTGGATGTGGACGTTAACAAAGCACTTTCTGAGAGCCCTGTTACCAGATGGGAAACCGTTCCCAACAGACAGGGTTTGACAGCACATCCAGGCCTAAAACTCTGCCTTAGGCTTGGCTCCACTCATCACCCGAAGCAAAAATAAAATGGTGTGTGCCAACGGCTCGTATTTCCCTCCAGTTAACCAGCAGCCCTCCCTTGCTTCTCCCCCTCACAAGGCATCCTGCAAAACTGTGGTCACACGGGCATTTCCTAAATGCATTATCTCGAGCCTTTAAGTCTTAAGGGGGATAAAAGGCCCAATCCTTAGTTGACAAAAGAACCCCTGTTAAAAGTCCTGATGAACCACCCCCCAACCCAACGGATATAAATATTTAGACTGTAATTTTACTTTACTTTAATAAAACAATGCTGGCTTCATCATTAGGAAGAAAACTCGTTTCATATTTATTATTTCCTTGAAGGCTGATAGATCTTATTCAGAAAGAATATGAAAGTCAAATTGCTAGCCCTTTGGTTTTTGTCAAAGTGGAATTAAAAGGAAAAACTAAAACAAAAAACAAACCTCACAACAACAAACAAAATCCAAGTAAAATGCCTATCAACAGGGGTGAAGCCAAATCAAACTAGCTACCTAGCCCAGAGTCACCTTACTCTGTTAAAGGAATAAACTGCCTCTCGTTCTCATAGTTCCTTCCAGAGGCTCTGACCTACTCACCCCTAGAGGGCGACACTCCTCAGCTAATTTAATCAACAGTGGACTCATGCCTCAAGGTCAATCAAGTCATTGACCCATGTCTACTGAGATCCAGGCTCTTTAATTTCTTAGCCTGTCCTGAGTTAGACTGTTGTCAGTGGGTAGTGGGCCCTTGAGTTGAAAGGTCAAGCCGTCGGAGAGCAACCATATTAGACCAGGCAGTAAGGAGAAAATAGTGTGGGTACATAGGGGGCAGATTTTGGAAATTGTACAGAACTGCCAAGTCAAGGCAGAAACTCCTAAGATTTAAGGCACCACCTGGCCCCTGAGAGACAGAGGGATGAATATATTCCTCACATTTTAATTCTAGTCCTGGTTATGAGGAGACTCAACTGGCTTCATCTCAGGATGTCCCTACTAACGCTTCTGCGAAATAACACTGCGACCTGAGCTACTTTCTTAGGCTTCTGTTTCTTAAATCCAAACAAGGTCTCAATAAGACACCATCCAATTCTCCTCCCCCCACCCCCTATTCTGTACCCTTTGCTCTCGTTAGGAAAATCTTTGGACCATCCCCAATGCAGCTGGTTACATAATCTTGTTGCTTGTGTTTTTAATTATTTTAATAATATAATTACATACTTCCCAAGTCCCTACCCTTTCCTCTACAATACCTCTACCATAAGCTGTCAAGCCCTGTAGGACTTTTCTATGGAAAGCATTAATAGGGATCTTACATTCTTAGACAAACTTAGTTAATGGCTTAAACCCATTTTCTTATAAACCCTACCCATTGTTCCTGGCTCTATTTTCTAGAACCATAAAACCAAACCAAACCAAACCAAACAAACACCCAAACTCACTCTCATCAAATTGATTCTGACTCACAGTGAGCCCATCGGACAGAGTAGAGCTGGCCCTGTCGGTTTCTGCAAATCTTTATAGGAGTAAAAACCCTTGTCTTTCTCCCAAGGAGTGCCCTGGTGGTTTTGATCTGCTGACATTGTGGTTAGCAACCTAACATGTAACCCACTAAGCCACCAGAGCTCCTTCTCTAGAATCCTACATAAGACATATTCTTCTTCTTCCACATGAGGACATGAGGTATTTTAAACAACCAACAGTTTCCTCTAAAGGTTTTCCCCTTTCATCAATTATTCTTCATGGAGTGAAGTCAAGGTCTCTTTCTCCTCTGGGTGGCGTCTCCTCCTCTCACATGGTTCCTAACCTCATCTCCATTTAACCAATTTGTAGCCACCGTTAACTGCTCAGCTTAAATCCTGCCTTCCCATGAAATCTGCCCAGGCCACAGACAGAGGGGAGCGATCCCACTTCGTGGTCAACAACATAGGTTTTGAAAGCAGACAAGCCAGACTTGGGGTTCCTGACATCACTGCTCTTAACCCGGAGTCTCTGGGCAATGTTACCTCACCTCTCTACCCTGCAATGTCCTTATGAGTGTAAGGGCAGCAAAATCCTTACCTCTCGACATTGCTTTGCCCCGATGAGGCTGACATTCGTAATATGCGTAGTACAGTGCTTGCCACACACAAAGAGTTTTTTAATCAACATTATTTTTCATGTCGTTTCTTTGTGTACATGAATCACTTTCTTTTCTCGACTCTGTCAAGGTTTAGTGGCTAAGAGCATAATCTCTGGGTCCGGGCACCATGGCTTGGTAACCAGTGTGACCTTGGACAAGTTATTTCACGTCTGTGTTTCTACTTCTTCCTCTGTACAATGGAGAACCAGGGGTGCATTCCTCATGAAACTGTTGCTCATGTGGATGAGATAGATAACAAACGTAGAGAGCTAGAAACGAGGTAGCATCATCATGAACCTGGTTAAGCCGAGTCCACAATCTCCCGTGTTTCAGAGCAGAACCGAGCTCCACAGGGTTCCCAGTGGCTGGTTCTATAGGAGGAGCTCACCAGGTCTTCGGAGCCAAGTCTGCTGGTTTCAACCACCCTAACTTTAGCTTAGCAGCTGAGCAGAGTAACCATTTATCCCACCCAAGGACAACGATTCCAAAACCTCAAATCAAGCCCACTGATACCAATTTAATTCAGAGTCAGAGTGACCTTTTGAGGACCGAGTAGAACTGCCCTCCACACTGCATCCGAGACTGTAATCTTTATGGAAGTTGACTGCCACACGGCCAATGCTTAACCACTGCCTCACAGAGGTTCCTTTCATGGATGATAGTGTGGTAGTTTCAAAATCTGGTGTCAATTGGGGACTTGAGAGGCGTAAGAGTGAAGGGGTGGAGTCTAGTCTGTCAATCAGGTCATAGCCAATGAGGCCTCTGTGTGGGGATGGCCTTCTTCTGAGGATTCTGGGAACTCCTGTTTTTCCTCCTTGGAGGAGGGAGACAGTTTCTCTCTACTTATTCCCTTGGAGACTCTCTACTGACAAGACTCAAGGTTCACTCCCCAAGAGATGCTCTACTGACAAGTCACATGGCACTATGCTAATAGACTCCGTGCCCTGGGAACTGGAGAAGCCACGTGGAGACTCCTGCCAGGGTTGAGATGTTTCTACCACCACTGGATCCACAAGACTTCGCACCCACTGGCCTGTGATTTTCCTGCATTCAGTGTCATTGCATGTGTTTCGTGAGTCTGAAGAGGACTTTATAGATTGCTAACGGACATATGGGCTTATATCAGGCTTATGGACTTGATCCTGACTGGGCTGGGATGTTTTCTCAATATTCAACTGCTCTTGCATATAAAGCTCTTTCTTATACACATATGAATTTCTATGAATTTGCTTCTCTAGTCTACCCTGAACTAACAGATAGCAATGATGGATTTCTTCAAGATCAAAAAGTTAAACATTCCCCAATCTCACATGGGTAATTCTTGTCAACAAGTCAGCTAATTTGGAATGAGAAAGCATGATCTATATTTTACAATTCTTGGGTTACAAACATGTCTGCTGGATGCGAGAATGAAAGGATTAAAAATAAATCCATCTTTGAGTGCTGTCAAGGCATAAAGTGGCATGAGTGAGTTCACCCATGAGTCCCATTTGGGGTTTAATACCTACCTGGTGGTAGGAGATGGGGACTGGCCTCCGGAAGACTATCCACTCCACGATTTCACTACATGGTGGGGTGGTCAGGGAACCTGTGTACCGGTAATAGCTGCCCAGGGATGCAGGCAGGAGGTCTCGGAGGACAAACGGATCCAGAAAGGTCTCCTTCTCTGTTTGGGGAAAGAAGGAGAAGAAGAGCACAATTAGAAGTCACACCACGCTGTAGACCCACAGTCAAAAGCCCTTAGCCGAAGCTGGTAGCATATCACAAGCCTTCTGTTTGTTTACATCCTGCGAAAGCGCTAACATTTGGCGGTGGAAGAGCGGCAGAAAACAGAGCGGCGTTGCTTAGGGTGTGTTCTGAGGACACCGCATCTCCCAGAGAAGGGCTTGCCTGGTGAGCAGCACTGGACCACATCCCCGTACCCCCCTTTGGCCCCCACCTGACCTCCCGCAGGAAGCAGACAAAACAGTGGCAGAGCAAAGGCTGTGACCAGTCCAACAGGAAGGGAAATGGGCTTGGTTTTCTATTTCTGAGTGATGAAAATATGTGTAACCAAGGATTTGCCATTTCTACCATTTTTTAATGTGTATAATTCAGGGAAACCAATGATGCTCCACATGTTGTACGGTCATCACAACTGCATCCAAATGTTCCCAGCTCGTTGAATAGACACGCCGTGGCCCCCCCCCAAGCAACAGCCCCCCCTCCCCACCCTCCCCATCTCCAGTTACCACTGACCAACCTCAGCCCCCATGTAACTGCGTCCTCTTAAGTCCACACAAGTGGGACCAGACAATAGGAAGGGGCCTCAAAGTCGGTGGAAAATGTCCACTATCTTTGAATTCCACTTTCCCCACAAACTTTTTGAAGATCCCATGTCTATGTCCCCTGTAACGTTGCCTTCTATCACCCAGCAGAATGCTTTCAAGGCTCAGCAATGTAGGAACAAGTATTAGAATTTCAGTTCTCCTTATGGCACGTGAATAGTCCACTAAGTGTATGTGCAGCGCATTTTGTTTATCCATCCTTTCTTCTGCTGATGGATATTTGGGCTGTGTCCACCTTTGGGCTATGACGATTTGTGCTTTCATAGACATTGGCTTGACTTTCTGGAACTTTCCTTGAGCAGGCTTGTTTCGCCGTAGAGCCCTGGTCTACCAGAATATCCATAGAGGCATATCAGTGGGACACAAAGGGAAGAGCAACATGACAGGAAATCTCGAATCAAACAATAACGTGCAACTCCAGCGTTGGTATATTTCATTATGGTTCCACCCAAGGTCTATCCAAACCAAAGAAACCTAGGGTGCCTCCCCAAGGTAGAACTCTGAACGTAAGAGGGTCTTAACAGAACGTTAAGAATTCCCAGAGGAGGCAGGAAAAAAAAAAAAAAGCATTCTTCTTGTGTCAATTGTTGGTACCTTCTCTTAAATGGAAGACACAACATTGCAGATGGGTCCTCATAATCGTACCTCACAATCACTCCATGTAAAAGCCACAACGTGGTATTGGGCGAGGCCCGGCCCACGTCACACAGCTGGCAGACAGCAAAGCTAGAAGATGAATCCAGGGTCCTCACCACCAGAGCCTGCCTGACCCTGACTCAAGTTGTAGTTTGCTAGGTGCAAAGTGAAGGGAGGGGCGCAAAAGGAAGTGGGAACAGCATGTGCAAAGGCCCTATGGCAGGGACGATTAAGGACACTGTTACACCATGTTCCTCGACAGGAGAACGAGACCATCCTTCACCTGTCAGAGAAGGTTCTCAACAATATATAGATCTCCAGAGGGTTCTCCCTGGGTCTAAATCTGAGGGATTTATAATCCTGCTAATATCCCTCCTTCGCCCCTCGGCCATCTCCACCCTGGCTCTGGGACATTTCTGGGGGCCCAGGGTGTCAGGGTATTTCATGGGTACACCTATGTTGACCCAATATTCTCCCCAAGGCCTGTATATCCTCCCTCCTCGTCTATTTTTCAGGCAGAAGAGCCAGTGCAGGCATTTGACAAATGTGTGTCTCCAGACCCAAGAGCTCTATGCAACCAGGGGAGAATGCAAAATCTCAACTGATATCATCCACCCTAGAAGAATCAAAAGATCAAGCATCCCTTGGATATGGATAAGTTGATTACGACACCATTTATTTAGCACCTGGTGGGAGCAGTGGTCACATGTTAGGCTGCTAACCACAAGGACAGCAGTTTGAAATCACCAGCTGCTCCTTGGAAGAAAGATGAGGCTTTGTGCTCTCGTCAAGAATGCAGCCTCAGAAGCCCAGGGGCTGTTCCACCTTGTCCTAGAGGGTCACTGTGAGATGGAACCACCTCAAAGGCAGCGTGTGTGCATGTGCCCACTACTATTACAAGTCTTCACATGTTACAAGCATTTAAATACATGTACTATACATGCCCAGGTGCCCAACAAACAGCCCTTCAGGTTGGCAGTTGGGCTCCACCACATGCACTGCGGGAGCAAGGTGTGGCATTCTGTCTGCAGAGATCCCAGCTTTGGAAACCCTACGGAGCAGCTGGGCTCCCCAAGGGTCCCGATGAATCGGAGCAGACTCAAAGGCGCATATGTGGTAGGCCAGGTGCTGAGTTTTATCCAGATTTAATTTATTTTAAAATTACAATCGCCTCCCTGAAGCGGATCCTATTATCATCTCCATTGAATACAACTGAGGTATCAAACCACATCTAGTCTGATTCGAGCCTGCAGGGCTTATGGGCTGGTTTATGATCTTTAAAATGATAGGGTCAAGTCCTGAATCCCAGAAACAGTGAACGTGAGCCTTTTGAGGGAAGGAAAACCTTTGTAGATTTAGTTAGCATGAGTAGGATGGGCTAGTCTGTCTTTCTTGTAAGAAGAGAAAGGCAGTTGAAGACATTCGCAGCAGGAAGAGAGATGGTCATGTGCAGAGGAAGAGAGAAACAAACTTATGCTGCCACAAGCCAAGGAACTGCTGGCGCTACCAGAAGCTGAGTGGGGTGGGGTGGGGGGGTGAGGTGTGCGTGTGTGGGGGG